AAGTTTATTCAAGCTAGATTCAAGGATGGGCGACGAAAAGATGCAGCAGGGAAGGTGATCTTGTACAAGCTTCTTGTGACCGACTGGCAAGTACTCGGCAGCAAGTAACTGCCCAGCACCTCCACCACTCTGTTCATCAAGCTCTCTGGAGGACTGAGGCCGCCCCAGCTCACCCCAGTACAGATCCCTCTCCTGTTACTGATGAGATGGGAGCATGAATTACAGAGCTTCGGGAGCTCAAGCAAGTTCCCTGTTCATGGCAAGATATGCAGGTTAAAAGTTAATTTTTTTTATTTAGCTTCCTGGTCTGATTGGGAGCAATTAAATAAATTAACCTGTGCCTTTGTTGTCCAGGAGTGAAACAGGGATAACAACTTCCCTTCCCTCACAAACAAGTTGATAAAACAAAATCCACTAATGGCTTTCAAGCACTCTGATGCAAGAGCAACAAATACCATGTAAGGATCCTAATTTTGCTATGGGAGCATCTTCTGTACTTCTTGGCGTTGTTATCTCCGGCTCAGGTAGCTGTTTGTTTTCAGACAAATCTTTACTTCAAGAATTTCTCCTGTTCCCAGCAGAAATCCTGATAGCTTGGTCTCTGCCTCCTGTCTTTTCCAGCGTTAATGCTATTGTATTTGTTTAATGGGGTTAATATGCTGCTGGTATAATGATCACGTACGGATGTAATTATTATGTGTGATTAATTCCGCAGCTGCTGAAAAGCTTGGAGGACTTCTCTTAGGGGAGGGAATATCTTTACAACAGTCCTTCTCAAATTGCATTACACACAGACACAAACCCCAAAAGAAATGCAATAGGGGAAAGAATGAAGGCATAATTAGAGGAGACAGAGCTGCACCCAGCAGAGCAGCTGATGAAGGTTAAGCATGATGTGGTCAGAGACCATACTTCTGTTGTGTGTTTAGACACTAGCACAAAGGATTCCTGGTCCATCACTACAGTCCCAAGGTACTACTACCTTGCGTATAGTATGCAACTGGTTATAAATTTTTAAAGATATGTCTGCCAGTGGTGTAGGCTTCTCTTGCTACTTTTTTTTTTATAGTAAACATCCTTGAAACGAACACAGTGGGTTTTGTTCTAAGAAGATACAATACCACAGACCAAAATATGAACTCCTACAAAATGCTAGCACAGGTTAATGATTTTTACAAGAACCAAAGAGAACAAAGTGCACAGCACACAAACCATTAGCCCTAAAATACCTAGGGTGACCACATCTGAGAAAACGCTAGATATTTTTCTGCATGAGGCTTTCTGGCACACACTGATAATTTACAGCCATACGCTTGAGTGCTCTTAAGTGCTTTGAGTGATAATGGATCTATTTGCGTGATCAGGGATTGTAGACACAGGCCTATAACTCAGCATGTTCCCCAGAACAATACCCAGACACTTATCCTTGACCAAACTATCCTTAAATCCCACACATGTGACCTGAACAGAAAACTCTGCCTGCAAGATTTAAGTCTCTGTTAGCTGTCCAGCTGTTTCCTAACCCAGTTATTACCCATGAAAGCACCCATGACTTTGATATTTACCTGACTCAGTTTAACTCTTTGAATCCCATTTAAAGGTTTAAGTGAAGGACAAGTGTTCAGGAAAAAATGAGACGTGCACAATCCTCCTTTCATTCTCCAGAAAACCATCTGTTTTGGCCTCTGCAGTCTTTAACACCTAAGATCACCAATGTCCTAGTCCAGTTCCTTCTTCTGCACACAGTGACATCTCTGAGCAAGGACGCCAAGGAGGAGGCACAGACACTGCAGGTGATGCTGAGTTGGACCCCAGGTGGCAGAGAAGAGGGTCAAGGTGGGCAAAAAGCACAGCTGGCGAATTTGCTGTCGTGCAAGACTCTCCTATCATTCCCCATACCTGCAGCTATCAGCAGCAGGCAATACTAAAGCCACTGGACTGCAACAGGACCGCGTATGGGTACTGTATAGGCTCTATGCATGCAGGGCTGGGAATGGAGATGGACTCTGCCCATTGACTTCTCTCAGCTGCCCTGAAGAGCAGTTTGGGCTTGGTATTTACGTGGCCCGAAGCGCTATTATGTCTGAAATCCCCATGATACTTTAAAGCAATAAATCATTCCCTCTGAGCCTCAAAGAACAGAACTGCAGATAGGACGTATTTGAGAAAACACAAGGGCTATTTGCTCACCCTCCAGAAAGGGAGACAGCAGTTTTAGTTTTCACCTAGTGAAGGATTTATTGAGCATCTCATTCAGCCACCAGCATGTTTCAGACCATAACGATCGGACCTCACAGCACTCCTCTGCATTGCCTGCAGGAGTTATCAGCTACCCCAGCATCTGAGACAAGTGCCGGTTTTCTTCCTTCTTTTTCAGTTCTTTCAATTTCTGCTTCACTGGGTTTTCCCTTTCTCACCACACTACTGGGAACTTAATAGGCGCAGAATAATGCAGAATGCAGAAGAAAAATCGTGATTTGGAATAAAAGAAGCAGATTGTGATAGGTTCGGAATTAGCCTGTAATCATTTATGAATTTCCATGTTTCACCTAATAACTGATCTAAAACTGAGAGATACCAGTCTGACAATGCTAAAGTTGATCTGGATACAGAAAGGATGAAAAAGAAACAACTCATGATAGCCTTAACAGCAAAGATGGAAGAACCGTTAGGAAACAATGTCAGGACTATTAGTTTGGGTGGCTGAGAGCAGACGTTGGCTAGCTTATCAAACTGATTTAACTAGGTTTATCTGAAGCCCTACAGACACAGAAATGGAAAATTCAAGCAGAATTCAAAATGAAAGCTCCCTCAAGGAATGCCTTTTTTTTTCTTCTCATATCCTGTTTTTGTTCTCATCAACAAACACAAAATGCTTCTCAGGTTTAAAGACATCGCCAACCAAGCTACTGCACTCCTGTGCAGCCCCCAGGTAAAAAGATGAATGGGACGTCTAATCAAGCAGCTAAACTTTCCCATGCTGAAAGCTAACCTGTGCACACACGGCTGATCTCCTAAACCCCATCCCACCAGAGGCCCAGGACAGACACAACTCCCCAGCACTCACAGACAACGAGCTGTAGGGTTGCTCAGCTTACTGCAGCACACAGCGCTATACAACATGCATCCAGCAAGACATTTGTCAGAAGAATACCACAAAATGTCCGTAATTTGTTCATGATATTGCAAGCAGTAAGCTGGAAGGCAATTATTTGAGTTCTATGCATTGAAGAGATTTCATTTACAGGAAAAGAGTGGGCATTACAGATGCCTGACCCAGCCAGATACAAGACACCTTGTGCAGGGCCTGATTTAAGAACAGAAGTGCTGCATAAGACCAGGTTGGACAGGGCTCTTCAAGACCAGGTTGGACAGGGCTCTGAGCAACCTGATCTAGTTAGCGGTGTCCCTGCTCGCTGCGGGGGGGTTGGACTAGATGACCTCTAGGGGTCCCTTCCGACCCAAAACTTTCTATGATTCTATGATTCTATAATCCTCATCTTCAGACAAGCTAAGAGACAAAACTGCAATATCACAGGTAGATACACAAAAACATGCCGGAAAAAAACTGCAGCAAATTAAATTGGACCTATACTGGGACTACTTTAATTTCATTTCTGAGAATAAGATTTTAGGATGTATCTACACTGCAGCATACACAAACACAGGCAAGCTTGCTTGCTAGAGCATGTGGTAAGACTTGTCTTAGTCTATCTTTGCTTTAAATTACTAAAAAGGTCCCAACGTTCAACCTTTTAATAAAACACGTACATGCCAACAACAACATGCCTTCAAGTAACCCACATGGAGATCTGCGTTGCCACAGCTAAAACAAGACTAGCTATGGCTACACAGACTGGGGTCACGTGTTTTACTGTTACATAGACTTGCCCTCAATTCTCGAGGGACTGACTGGTGACTCCAATTATTTCTGTAATACACTGAAGTATAGTTTAGCGGAAACTGAAGTTTTCACATCCATATACTGAAATACTACATAATAATTTTGCTAGCTCTGGGCCAAAGAGCACAGCATCTTGCAAAAGCAATCTCAGCATTTTGCAAGCTGGAGATACTATGTCAAATCCAGTGAATGCAAGGAGTTGTTGAAGGTTATTACCTTTGACAGGCAGGCAACCACATCACAAAAAGCAAACATGTCAACAAACAAAATAAATGTTATTTCACACTGCCTTCAGTTGGACAGGAGGCAAAAGGACAATAGAAGATGAATACAGCATTGCCATTCAACCCCTGAAGAAGGCACCCCAGCAGCAGGGCAGATAACACCATGCACTATGGCTGCATGACCCCATCTATATCATGGATGTTAGCACCATCCATCCACTATCCTTCTCAAGCACTAACTAAAGCTCAAGCATTATTAAACCTACTGTAAGCCAATTTCCATTTTTTCCTTTAGTTACTGGAGGAAGAGAACTTAACTGTTGGGACCCAAAAGAACAACTTTCAAATCTTCTTACTGCAGAAGATTTTCTTGTGCGGCAGAGGAGAATACACAGCAGCAGGAACTCCAAAGGGCCCAAAGCACCAGGGCACCTAGCACTTACCAGCACAGCAAGGGGCCTAAACAAAGTATAGCCCGGGAAATGCTTACTGGCACTAGGCTGGGCCTCTGCAGGTCACATGGTAACACATAATCACTTCAAAAGCACTTCTTTCTTTTCATGGATCTGCAGAGAATTACTCTGTGCTTTGGGTATCATAGCACTTTTGCCATAATCAGATGTTGTAAACGTATATGAAATAAAAGAGACATTCATGTGTTACTGTCCCGTCAGCTGTGTCTTCATATGATCACCTCCAATTACACTGTAAAATTTAGCAGCACACGTATTTGAAATAACGCTTTTAATTTTCAATCAGGTACTCTGCAAGGAAACCCAGCTCAGAAATTACATAATTGAATATCTTGAGGAAGACAATAAAAAGCAAATTTTGACTCAACGGTGTTATTTAATAGCAGTGAAAGTACTTACCAGGTGGCCTGTTAATTGCGAGGTTTCGGAAATGACTGCCTTTGATCATCTCCACTGACAGCCGCCCTGTAGTGGCATTGTACGACAAGCCCACGAGCAGCTCTGGCACCCCTCCATGCGACAGGGACTGTGTTGATGAAGCGCTATCACTGTGAGAGATTGCTGACAGACTAAGCTGAGAGTCTGCACTCTGCAGGGAAAGAGCACTGAAAGTCTCATCAGGACGTTCAGCACCACCCTCCCTTAATTTATATCTTGTAGCCCTGTTTAGTGAGATCTCTTAAGAAATGACAATGACTAAGAATGAATTATTACAGGGCACCAGAAGAGTCAGAGCATCACTTTTACAAAAACACGTCTCTGAACTTTCTCTTTAAAGATGAGGAATTCTGCATAATGTGTTACCACTAGTGTAAATCAAAGCCTCTGAGATAAGCATACAGCCTAGTACATCAAACGCACAGTAAATCTCCTTGACAATGACTTTTGGATGGAACGCATTTTGCAGTTTGGGTTTTTTTGGTCAGGTACTGTGCATTTTCCTACTTTCTTTCTGTGTTACCATGATGCTCTCTCTACCCACTCTTCACCTGGAGTATGATGTTTTATTCATTTTGTGTGCACAACTTCTCACTGAGCTTTTTGTAGAGAATGAATCATGACAGAGCTCATCTACACAAATTGATCGGCATAGCCAGAGCTGGATACAACTGTGATGTGCATGCAAGACTATGAAGCAGCACAGCCAGTTCTTCCTCACATGACCCACCTCTCCACTTCCATCTGTCATGAAAAGGAACATTACTAAGCATTTCTGGTAACATGGAAACTGCACAATGCAGAGATCCACAATGGAGTAGCTAGTGCCAAATGAGGTAGCTCTTGCACTGGCAGTAGTACAAGTCCACCAACATAACAGTGCACAAGAACTACTGTCCTTGTTGAAATTAAGATATAATTAGCCTTGGTGGTTCTGGGATTAACCTACTACTTCTGCCTGGCACAGCATTTGATGACTTGTGCAGATACACTATATCTACATGCTTTCGTGTAAGCCTGCTAGCTGAGCCATTGTTAATAAGGCACAGCTTTGTGTAGGTTTCCCCTTACTGATAACTTTTTAGGTGACAGTAGGAAAGATCCACTAGTTGCATCCTAACAGCCCTAAATGAAAGACATCAGGTATGGCTGGTCCCCATTCACCAGATGAATAATTTTACAGACTCCATTATTTCTTTCACCAAACTTACGCTCAAATTACTCCTTGGCTCCAAGACCAATGTCACCTTTGCTTCCCCTTCCTGCCTGATGTTGCTCAGGTAGAACAACTGCTCTCCCATCATCTTCTCTCCAATCATCTTGTGCACTGCATAGAGGCGGAATCGAACGGCGTGGCTGCTTAACTCCCCTGGCTCCAGCTTATTGAAGGTAATTTTATCGTTGAACACAGGGATGGGTCCTCTCTGAACGCGTGTCTTACCCCTCTGTTTCTTGCTAGGCATCAGGACTGTGTGCACTTGCCAGGTGTTCACACCACTGCGGTCTTTGTCTGGGATATCCCTGGCCTCCAAGATAGTAACTACTAGCTTTTGACTTGAGGCTTTGTAGTTGAAGATGACATCTAGGTCACCACATTTACAGATGGGGTCATGAGCACCACAATGACCTGGTACGCTGTTCATTTCACCATGTTCCTGCAAACAGAAGGAAGAAATAAAACCTCCATTGGATTTCAAGTGTCTCTGTGATCCCAACTCTATTTAAAAAAATATTGTTCTCCTCACTTGTGCTTGCAAATGCAGGCAGTTGTTCTGCAAAATCAGGATCCCACGGTTTCTTGAAAAAACAGTGCTAGTTAATTGCCTGATTTTGTGTAATATTCTCCATACAATGTAGTAAGCAACAGCACTTGTTGAAACCTTTCCAAAAAAAAAGCTTCATCAATATTTAAATGTGTTGCAGGAGACTGTTAATTTGGCAAAAATTCTACACAGGGAAAAACTAAACAAAAGGGTTTCTTAAATTTCATTCATGTCATTTTTGAGGCATTAATAAACCCTTCTGGTTTCATTTCGTTAAAAAACCCAACTTACCTATTACTTTGAACATGCACTGGGATTTTTTCAAAATGGATTTTTTCTACGTGACCGAAATCAAACACTTCAGTCAAGCCTGCTAACTTTTTTGATATTTTGTTCTGTTGGAAACTAAAAAAATTAAGCACTGTTCTCAACTTGATAGGAGGGCAGATCACCATGTCAGAATTTCTTGAAGAATAGAAATTCCATTTCTAGATGCTACCTATAATTCAATAATTTTCCTACAGCTAAAGCAATGATGATTGAGAAAAACACTCTGATTAAATACATATTGATTCTTTATTCCCTTTTCAAATCTCCCAAGAGAAGCATCTGTTCCTTCTGTTTAGTTTGGATACTAATATATGCAGAATAAAAATTCAAAATAAACAAACAAAACTTGCACAGACCTATTCACACACAATCTTTTACTTACTTTTAAAACAAAAAGTCATCTTGATAAAACAAGATAAAAAACATGGTTGCTCATCTTACCTTTTGATGAGTGGGCGTGTGCATTTCTGTTCAAAAGTGCTTTTTTATCTTAGAGCTAGAATGTGCTTCATGTGATAGAGAGGTTGCTATAGTGATCAATGATTTGTATTTAAACATGAGTATACACTGTACTAGGGAAAGATTTTCAGTTAATAGCCAGAAGGTGAATTAAGGCCTGTCACTAGCAGTCTGAGTCACCCTCCTCCTCAAACATTTATCTTCTTTTGCATTTCAAGTAACACTGCTTTTCAACATAGAAATCTTATTTTTTAGAGTACAGGTGACAGGCCATAGGACTTCTGATGTAATTCCCTTCAGAAGTGTCTAGGGTGGCATATGTCTCAAACAAGACCTCGGACAAACTTCAAAATTTCTATCTACTTCCCGTCGATCTACTTTTCAAGTGCTCAGATTCATCTGGCATAAAGCACAAAGCTCCAGCTTTTCATATTTTCATAGGCGTTTAAAGGATTCGTGCACGTGAATACAGAAGTCCACGTGTGCACATGGAGACCTGCTGTCCTATGTCTTGCAGAAGTAATGTCAAAGAGAGAAAAATCGCTCCTTGGACAGCACATGAAATGACTTGGTTGCCCACAAAAATGCCTTTCTGTATGAACAGCAGGCTGCAAAGACAAAAACACAAGGCAGGCCAGGTTGCCTGGAGAGAACGTGATGTTATGCAAATCTAAGTGCTGCTGAGTAGCTGTCAAGTTCGTTCTCTCTGGCTGATGAAATAATATTTAAGAAGGAAATGTAATGGGATTGCACTTAATTCATGTTTCCCTCCACATGTTCATTCCTCCCCATTTTCATCTGTGCATTTGCTATTGAGGAGATGGAATCAATGCACGTTTGAGAACTGCTGCTAAAGTGTGGAGACAACTGTGCTTGCGGCATAACTTTACTTTCATCTACCTGTCTGAGCTGGAGAATGTGAACTCCCGTGCGTCATCATAAATCCACAGGTACGAAGATCCAAGAGGCACTTTCCTGCCCCAGCGGGGCTGAGTATCTCATCTTCTGGCAGCGTGTAGGGCAGACTGAAGGTCAGCTATCTTGCCTTTGACAGAACAGCTAGAAAGTATTTAAATCTCAGGAAATCTCAAATCATGCTACTATAGCTGTGCCACATCCACTGTAGAGAAAACTGCATAAACTGGAGGCAGAGTGGGAAAGAGAAATGCCAAACTCTGTGGCAGCAACCTTTCTGTGGGCAGCCAAGCTTTAGAGACATCACGGGATGGCCCTTTCAGAGAGCACTGAGCTATCTGGGACTCACCCCTGTGCAGGTTTTAGGGCATGAAGCTCACGGACAGTCTTCTTTCTGTGGAAGTCATTGACAGAATTCCCCTTGGGTTTCAGAGCTCAGGTGGGGCTCTGAGCACTTTGTGAACGTATCGGTTATACAGACACTTCAATCGGAATCCAAGGAGAGTGTGGGCTTTAGATACCTCATCTGAATTTCTTTCTTTTCCTCTTCCTAGCGCAGTTATTGAGATGTCAAGCCAAGTATACTGATTGATACTGTACGTCTAACCCGGTCATTCAGGACAGCCAATATCCACTTCACTAGGTAAAATAAGTCCATTTCTGCCAGAGAAACCTGAGAGAGCAGCTAATTATGGACAAGGCTTGAAATGGTACTTGTGGTTCCACTGCAGGGGCATAAAACTATCATTTTTGTCTCTAAAGTGAGGTCCTCCGAGTGGAGCATAATAGCACTTGGACATTTCTGGCATGTCAGAACATTTAGTTCCTGCAATAAAAAGTCTTTCATTAGCTCACACAATACCTTTGGATGAGAAGCTGCCTGTAGTAGATAAACTGGGACTTGGGCATATCTGCCCCCTGATGCTAGAACCGTTCCTTGCATTTTTAAAATGTAGATACCAGGAGCAAAATGAGAGATGTATTCCAAAGAAATACTACAGGACACCGGAGACACTGCGGCACACATGAACCGTGGCAATGCACAACAAATGCAGAAACGGAGAAGTGAGCCTCAGGTGGGCAGACAAACAGCGTGTGTCACAGGCACACAGCAAGGAGAGGGCAGGGCTGAGGCCACATGGAGTTCCCATGTGTAGTACTTCGTGGGACTGCTTTGTGCAGCAAACCAAAATGCTGTTCAAAATGCCCCTTAGGGCTGGAGCACGTGCACCGTGGAGCTGCTTTCCATCTCTTCAAGTGGCTGCAGGCAGCATGCTCTGAGGAAAGGAGCCTTCCCTCAAAGCCTTGCTTCTCAGAGTGTGATGGAGGTATTCATTTCCACAGCTGAAGAACAGACTCCTTTAACTCAGGCAGAAGGTGTGACCTTTGTGCAGTTATTCTAACACGTCTGATGCAGGCTGTTGTTTTTTCAGAAATGTAATCTTGTGGTAAAATAACGACGTAAACCAATAAATCATGCAGAAAGATTAGAAGAGAAAAGGGGGATGCTAAGTCATCAGGTGATTACAATTCCTTAAAATCCATAATGTTTTCTTGAGGCTTCAAAATAAAGGTACAGAACTAAGGGAAAGCAGAGGAGCTCTCAGGCTCTCCCCTTCCCTGGAAGGGTGCCTGGTATCACTGGGGACCAGAGTGATGGTCACTTGGCCAAGTCACGGGCCACCCCCACCAGTTGCCTAAAGCTTTCCAGATGCTTCCCATTGTCTAAGCCATAGAAACCACCTGGAAATAGAGGCACAGATCTGACCCAGTGACCGCACACCATGTCCTTAGACACACACCCCGCACATACAGCCAGTACCAAAGCCCTGGGCCATTGCTAAATGACAGTAAATGCTGTCAGGAAGCTAATGGCTCCAATTTCATTTCAAAGATTGCAGTCAGAAATCAAGCAATAAAACAGCGTCTCTGAATGAGTGTTAGTAGCAAGAGGTAAAATGCAAGAAAAAAGGGAAATGTACAGAGAAGGGTATACGTTCATGCACACATGAGTACTATTATCTTGTGGTGTTTTTCACTTCATTTCTCTTCTAACATTTTTTGGACCCCATTGTCCTTCAAAAGCTTACATCGTGTGTAACAAATGACAGTTCACCATACCTCAGGGCTCCAAGCCGTTGAGCTGTCAGTAGCATCATTTACTTCAAATCCACGGTTGCTAAATGCTCTCTCTGCTTCCAAATGTCCTTCCGTGGCTTGCCGGCTAACACCATCGGCAATGCTGGGCTCCATCCTAGGCCCTTTACGCTGCCCAGTGCCCCTGATCTCAGTCGTTCTTCTTGAATCAACAGACACAAGGTCATCTTCACGATAAGACAGGTTGTCTTGGTAACTCAGCTGGCTTAGTCCATCCAGATCTAACAATTTTCAGCAAGAAAATAATTTCAGAGGGACTAGAATAAATTCCTCCCCCTCTCCCTCCCAAAATGTGCCTTTCTCTGCTTTCTTTTCTTTGTTCTTTTGCCCTCATCTCCAGTGTATGCAAGAGACAGCTTCTACTTCGGAGTACTGCACACTGAACTTCAAAAATAACAAATCCTGTATAAGTCAGCATTTGATGGAGTGGACATAGCTGTTTCTCACCCCACCCTGAACTGAGGATCTAGTTGCCTTTACTTCAAGAAGATAATCACCAAATGCAATTATCAATGGAGTGTTTGGGATACTCAAGTGCCTCAGGGCTGCTTTGTGGCCCCAAAGCAATCGCTTCCATGAAAATACAGGTCAGACAAATCACAGAAAAGCACAGCATAGGCCTGATGAGCAGGTATCAGTAATTTCCTTCTACGCAGGAGGAGAAGGAGGAGGAAAGGACAGGAGCTAGCATTGCCCTCAGGGGGATGGTGCTGGTGAGGAATGGAGCTTCATGGAGATAACAGAGTGCCACCACAACCCTATCACCCATCCCTGAGAGCTTGGGTGCATGTGACCAGCCCCACAAGCTGACTAGGAATCTCCAAATCCCAAGTTCGGGCTAAATTGTCCCAAGGGCAACTGAGAGGAGATGTGTTTCCTAATTTCCTGCCTGCTTTTATTAGTTTTAATTAATCTGCTCCTACACACTTACTCCATGGGCTAAAAAGAGGTTCATTAATGAGAATAAAATAATCTTCCCTGGTTCAGGCCACAGATTCCTTCTCTGCACCACTGAAGTCTCTATTTTGTACCCAGGGCACTTTTCTCTACTTGAAGGCATCAGTGAGAGCTCTCTGGGTAGAGCAACACAGATAATTACATGTGCATGGACACAGATGTAAATAACATCATGATTTGGCCTTGAATGTGTTCTGCACACACTTTCAGAAGAAAACCAGGGACTTTCCTCCTCCTAATGCATCTGATGCCAGGCCTTGCTTTAGGAACATAAAGAGCTAGATTCTGCCTCCATGTCTTTCAAATAAGCAAGGAGCAGTTAGAGTGAAAGAAAACAAGCTGTGCTTCCAAATAGCTGATGACAGTAATGAAAACAGAATGACTTCCTTTGCAAACACAGCTATTTGGGGTTTAAGGGTTTCACAGAATAGCTGAGATTGGAAGGGACCTCTGGAGGTCAACTTGTCCAGCCCCCCCTACCAACGCAGGGCCACCTGCTTGTTTGTTCTCAGACCTGCAAGTTTGTTCTCAAAAAGGTCATTACTATAGAACAATCATTTTTTATTTTTCAGTTTTGGTCTCCAACTCAGATCTTTAAAAAATAGTATTAACTACTCTGTTTAATAGAAAACCATTAGTTTGCTTTGGTTTACATGAATCCATGTTTTCATTCCCCACCTGATAAATGAGACAGAGAACCTGGTGACAACTGATAAGGATAAGGCTGAGGTAACCAAAAACTTTTTGACCTCAGTTTTCACTGGCAATTACTCATCCCATATCTCTCGGGTCCCTGAATCTCAGGCTGCAACTGCAGGAATGAAGTCCCTCCCATCATAGGAGAAGGTCAGGTGTAAGACCCTCTAAGGGACCTGAACATACACAAGTCCATGCAACCTGATGAGATGCATACCAGGGTCCTGAGGGATCACGCAGTTGCTAAGCCACTCTACATCACACTTGAAAAGTTATGGCAGTCAGGCGAAGCCCCAGTGACCGGAAAAAGGGGAACTTCACACCCATTCTTTAAAAGTATAAATAGGAGGACTCTGGGAACTACCAGCCAGTCAGCCTCACCTCTGAGCCCAGTAAGATCATGGAGCACATCTTCCTGGAAGACATGTCAAAGCATATGGATGACAGGATGGTGATTAGACACAGTCAATATGGCTTCACAAAGGGCAAGCCCTGCCTGACTAGTCTGGTGGCAGCCTAGGATGGAGTGACTGCATTGGTGGATAAGGGTAGAGCAACAGATGTCACCTAACTTGACTTCTGTAAGGCCTTTGACACGGTGCCACACAACATCCTTGTCTCTAATTTAGAGAGATATGAATTTGATGGATGGACTATGTGATGTATAAGGAGTTGGCTGCACAGTCTCATATAAAGAGTTGCAGTCATTGGCTCAACGTCCAAATGGAGATCAGCAACAAGTGGTGTCCCTCAGGGGTCTGTATTGGGACTCATACGGTTCGTTATCTTTATTAATGACATAGACAGTGGGATTGAGTGCACCCTCAGCAAGTTTGCAGATGACACCAAGCTGAGTGCAAGGTCCTGCACCTGGGTCATGGCAATTCCCAATATCAATACAGACTGGGGAATTAATTGATTGAGAGCAGCCCTGCACAGAAGGACTTGGGGATACTGGTGGATGAAAAATTGGATATGACCCAGCAATGTGCACTCGCAGCCCAGAAGGCCAACCATACCCCAGGCTGCATCCCCGGCAGCAGGGTGAGGGAGAGGATTCTGCCCCTCTACTCCACTCTGGTGAGACCCCATCGGGAGTCCTGTGTCCAGCTCTGGAGCCCTCAGAACAGGACAGACCTGGACCTGTTGGAGCGGGGCCAGAGGAGGCCACAAAAATAGTCAGCAAGCTGGAGCACCTCTCCTACGAGGACAGGCTGAGAGAGTTGGGGCTGTTCAGCCTGGAGAAGAGAAAGCTGCAGGGAGACCTTTCAGTACTTAAAGTGGTCTTATAAGCAAGCCGGAGAGAGACTTTTTACCAGGGCCTGTAGTGATAGGACAAGGGGTAATGGCTTCAAGTTGAAAGAAGGCAGATTTAGACTGGATATAAGGAAGAAATTCTCTACTACAAGGTGGTGAGACACTGGAACAGATTGACCAGAGAAGTCGTGGATGCCCCATTACTGGAAGTGTTCAAAGTCAAGTCGGGTGGGGCTTTCAGCAACATGATCATGGCATCATGGCAGGTGGGTTGGACTAGATGATCTTTAAAGGTCCTTTCCAATACAAGCCATTCTTTGATGCTCTACACATCCCTCTGTCTAGAGCAAAAAAACCCAAATCTTTCTGAGTAGAAGAAATTCTGTGTTTGGCCTTAGCAGCAAATATGCTGTTTCTGATTCATACCTGCTTCACAACAACCATCAAAAAAAAAAAAAAAATCCAACATGGAGAACAGGGATTATACTCCAGAAACATTTCCTGGAGGTGTGCAGAAGTCACTGCCCCTCTCCTTGGGTGCTCTTTCAATTTAACAGCTCAGAGATTAGGAGAATAACTTTATCCCCTTTCTTTAACTACAAATGGTCTCACAGTCTCCATCCCAGCAAAACGCTTTTAGCACAGGCACTTCAAGAGACAAATCTGAGAGCATCTCACAGCTTTGTAATTATGGTCCTCTTCCAAGACATAGGAGATCGTCCTTCAGGAGGAAAGAGGGATCCAAATTCAGATCTCTCAAATTCCAGGTGAGTGTTCTTCTCACTCCCTTCTGAAATGTAAAACCCACCTCTTCTCCTCCTCATCCTCCCATCTGGCAGACCTAGTCCTGAAACTGAGAGCCCTCATTGTCTCGCCTCTGCCCTGAGCTGAAACTCTTGAGTGAGGGTAGGAAGTAATTTGATTTTTTGCCATTACTCCCATTCTTCTCTACAAGTCAGAAAATAAAAAGAAGTAAATATAAGAACGTAAGCAAGGAATAAAATAACAGAAATTCCACAAATTTACTGAGATTGAACAGGTACAGGCGCTCCTTAAGGCATTTAATTAGCAAGCCAATGTCTAATACACATTTTAAACAGTGGGTCATCCATCAAAGCACACACCACACAGCAGGCTTTCAGAATAAAATGCCACTGTAGTAAGAAATTATCCTCACACAATTGTCTTGTGGTTTTGACTCCTGCTGGGATAATATCTAGATCAATAATAGAGGAATTTTCAAAAACTGCATTAAAACCATAAAAGGCTATTCATAACAGGAGAACTCCAGAAATATATTAATAGAACAAGCCATCTCTCTAGGACTCAGGCACAAAATGAATGTGTTAGGAAAGCAAACGTAGTATTCACGGAAAGGAAGGGAAAAGGTGATTCACCAAAACCATTTAGTGAAACAGTTTGGCTTTTTCTTTAAATTTAAAGTAATTTGGTAAGAGATAATCACTTATAAATACCAGTATTAGAGGATCATTACAGGTAATAGCCCAGCTATACAGACTAGAACAACTATATCTCTCCAGCTACATCCGTTCTAACATTCTATTCACAAAAAAATGGTCAAAACAGAAGTTCTTCATGTAAAGGAAAAGGTCAGAGCAGTAAAATGCCTGTAATTTACCTGAGAGATCTTTAAGGAATAAAATGTCAACTGTCTTATGAATACCTGACATGAATAAACAGCACAGCATCAGGGATATATGTTGAGATTGCATTATCTAACTATCTTAACTTTAATTAGCCAAGAGTCCCTGCAGAGCAATAGCAGCCAATTCTAAAATTAAGGACTGATAGCACTGTATACTAAAAAGAGTGCTGTGTTTTTTTTTCAGTCCTGTCCCCAACCTTTCCCTGTTGTGTCATGTGTGCCCACAGGCCAAGAAGCAGCCAAGGGGAATACTGGGGAACAGAAATCACCAACAAATCAGGGAAGTCTGTATTCAAGGTTGGAGAACTGGCTATAAAGACACTGTGACTTTTGTCAGATGAAAGGATGAGAATCACCTCCAAATAGAACTCTAACAGGTACTGGGATCTGGAAGCATCTCTCCAAAGATACAGAGCAAGCTCAGCATATCAAACACTGAAAATCAGACTGGAAAGTACTGTGAAGTCCCCCCTCACACTGGCAGGTAAACAGCCTGGTTAACCTACGGTATATTTCTTCTTTTTCAATGATACAAAATCTCTCAGCTCTATGAAGCATTACAGTGTGTTAAAGATATGTCTTGAGAGGCCTCATCACTTCCTAAAACACAGTGCCAGAGTTAAAAGATGGAGCCTAGTAGATCTT